GAGGGTTTCAGTGAGGAAATGAGAAAATCACTTGAAGAAATAGAAGAAAAAAACAAAAATTTCAGGAAATAAACTAATCTCTTAAAGAATGTAAAGAGAAACAAGAAAAAACAAACAAACAAACAAGTGAACAAAACAACTGAAACAGTCCAAGGCTTGAAAACTGAAATAGAAACAGTAAAGAAAACACAGAATGAGGGGAAGCTGGGATAATGATCAGGAACTACATATGTAAGTATAACCAATAGAATACAAGAGATGGAAGATAGAATGTCAGATGTTGAAACTTATTAGAGGTTGTACAGTCATCAAACAAAGAAAATCTCAAGTCCATCAAATCCCAAACACAAAAATCCAGGAAATATGGGATAACTTGAAGAGGTGAAACTTAAGAATAATAGGTATAGAAGAGAGTTGAGAAATACCGCTCAAATGTAGAGAAAATATATTCAACAAAATCATAGAAGTAAACTTCCCTAACCTAAAGAAGGATACACTTTTGAAAGTTAAAGAAGTTTACCCCTCACCAAATAATAACCAAAACACCAGCCTACAGAATAAATAAAAAATGTTAAGAGCAGCTAAAGAAAAAGGCAGACCTATCTGAATTGCACCCAATTTCAACTGGAAACTCTGACAGCTAATAGTTCCTAGACATTCTACAGTCGCTAAGTGAACAAGGATGCTAGCCCCAACTACTGGACCCAGCAAAGCTTCCAATTACCATAGATGGAGAAAACAAGATATTCCATGACAAAACCAGATATAAACAATACATCTTAACAAATCCAGTCCTACAGAAATTACTGGAAGGAATATTTACACCCAACAAAGATAACTGCACTCACAAAAACATAGGCAATAGATGACTTCACTTTACCAAACACCAAAAGAAAAATGCGGGGGGGAATCCACACACAACAACACAACCAAAAGAAATCCAAAACAAACAAGTATGAACAATCAATATTCATTAATATCCCTCAATGTCAGTGGTCTCAACTTGCCTATATAAAGACAGAATGTATGCAAATGCAGAATCCATCCTTCTGCGACATACAAGAAACAAATCTCAACATCAAATACAGATGTTATCAGAGAATAAAGGGTTGGGAAAAGGTTTTCCAATCAAACGGATCCAAGAAACAAGCGGAAGTAGCAATCCTAATATCTAACATATTAGACTTCAAATTAAATCAATAAGAAGAGAGGAAGAAGGACATTTCATATTTATCACAGGATAATTCCAACAAGATGAAGTCTCAATTCTGAACATCTATGCCCCAAACACAAAGGCGCCCACATTCATAAAAACATTACTAAAGCTCAAATCACACATAAAATCTCACACAGTGGTAGTAGGAGACTTCAACACTCTGATCTCACCACCAGACAGGACATCCAGACAGAATCTTAGCAAAGAAATAAAAGAGCAAAAAGAAGTTATGACCCAACTGGGATTTACACATCTCTGTAGAACATTCCATCCAAACAGAAAAGTATATACCTTCTTCTCAGTGCCACATGGAACCTTCTTTAAAATCAACCACATACTCCGCAGCATAACAAATTACTACAAATACAAAAAAATTGAATAACTCGCTGTATCTTATCAGACCACTATGCTTTAGAATTATAATTCAACAGCATAACAAATCGCAAAAACCCTACAAACTCATGAAAATTGAACAATGAGCAATTACACCATCCCTTGGTCAAAGAAGCAATAAAAAATTAAGAGATTAAAGACTTACTGGAATTCAATCAGAATAAAGGCAGAACATACCCAAACTTATGGGACAGTTTGAAACCAGTGTTGAGAAGAATGTTCATAGCAGTTAGTTCCCACATGAAGAAACTGGAGAATAGTCACACTAGAGAATTATCAACACAAGTATACACCATAGAACAAAAAGAAGCAAGCTCACCTAGGAGGAGTAGAAACCAGAAAATAATCAAATTGAGGGCTGAAATCAACAAAGTAGAAACCAGGAAAATATTGCGAAGAATCAATGACACAAAAAGTTGGTTCTTTGAGAAAATCAACAAGATAGACAAACCTTTATCCAAACTAACCAAATGTCAGGGAGAAAGCATGCTAATAAACAAAATAGTGGCAAGTCAAATCCAGGAACACATCAGAAAAATCATCCACCATGATCAAGTAGGCTTCACCCCAAGGATACAATGACAGTTCAACATATGAAAATTCATCAATGTAGTACATAGTATAAACAAACTGAAAAAGAAAAAACCACATGATCATCTCAGTACATGCTGAAAAAGCCTTTGACCATATCCAACATGCCTTCATAATAAAGACTTGGAGAGATCAGGAAAAACAGAACCATACTTAAACATGATAAAAACAATATACAATAAACCAACAGCCAATATTAAACTAAATGGAGAGAAACTCAACATGATTCCTTTACAATCTGGAACAAGACACTCTCCATATCTCTTCAATACTGTAAGTGAAGGACTAGAAAGAGCAATAAGAAAACAAAATGGAATCAAAGTGATATAAGTTGGAAAGGAAGAACTATAACTTTCCGTATCTGCAGATGATATGATTGTCTACATAAGTGACCCAAAGAATTCTACTAGAGATCTCCTACAGCTGCTAAATAACTTCAACATAGTAAAAGGATACAAAATTAATTAAAAAATCAGTAGCCCTACTATATACAGATGATGAATGGCCTGAGAAATAAATCAGAGAAACATCACCCTTTACAATAGCCACAAAGAGCATAAAATGTCTTGGAGTATTGCTAACCAAATAAATGAAATACCTGTACGGTAATAACTTTGAGGCTTTAAAGAAGATACCAGAAAATAAAAGAAATCTCCCACGCTTTTGCATAGGAAGGATCAACAGAGTAAAAATGGAAATCTTGCCAAAGGAATCTACAGATTCAATGCAATCCCCATCAAAATCCTAACGCAATCCTTCACAGATGCTGAAAGAAGTATACTCAACTTTATAAAACAAAAAAACAGGATAGCTACCACAACCCTGTACAATAAAGTAAATTTCAGAGACAACACCATCACTTACTTCAAGCACTATTACAGAGCCATAGTCCTGAAAACAGCTTGGAAGTGGCACAAAAGTAGACAGGTAGACCTCTCTTGAATTGAAAACCTGATATTAACCCACAAACCTACTAATACCTAATTTTTAGCAAAGAAACTAAAGGTATCCAATGGAAAAAAGAAATCATCTTTAACAAATGATGCTGGCACAACTAGATATGGACATGTAGAAGATTGCAGATAGATCCATATCTATCACCATGTACAAAACTTAAATCCAAATGGATAAAAAATTAGCCTAAATCCAAACACACTGGCCCACTTAGAAGAGAAAGAGGAAGGTACCCTTAAATGAACTGGTACAGGAGGCTGCTACCTGAATATAAGGCCAGTAGTACAGACACTGAGATTGATTATTAATAAATGGGACCTCCTGAAACTGAGAAGCTTCTGTAAGGCAGAGGATAAAATCAGCAAAACAAAATGACAGCACGCAGAATGGGAAAATGTATTCACCAAACCCATATCTGGCAGAGGACTGATGTCCAAAATATTCAAAAAACTCAAGAAGCTTGTTCCAAAAACATCAAATACTCCAATTAAAAAGTGGAATACAGAACTAAACAGATAATTTTCAATTGAAGAATCTAAAATGGCTGAAAGACACATAGGAAATTGTTCAACATTCGTAGACATCACGGAAATGCAACTGAAAACTTCTCTGAGTTATAATGTTATACATGTCATAATGACTAAAATCAAAAACACCATTGACATTTTATGCTTGAGATGATTTGGAAAAATGGAACTCTCCTCCATTAATTGTGGGAGTGAAAACTTTTAAAAACACATTGGAAATCAGTATGGTGCTTTTCAGAAAAATGGGAATCTGTCTATCTGAAGATCCACCACTTCTACACTTAGGTATATACCCAAAAGATGCACATTCATACCACAAGAAGATCAGTTCAACTGAGTTCATAGCAGTATTATTTATAATAGCTTTTATCTGGAAATAATCTTGATGACTGTCAACCAAAAAATGAATAAAGAAAATGTTATACATTTGCTCAATGGAGTACTAATCAGTGGAAAAAACAACGATATCTTGAAGTTCATGGATGCATCTTTTCCTTCATATTACAAAATGGAGAATACCAAATACTCTTTTTATTTAGGCCATCTTACCAGAAGAAGGCATCCCTAACACATTTTCCATCTAGTTCATATCACCCGTCATAGAACTAAAACCACTGTCCCATTAGAAAAAAGAAATCCCTAGATTATTTGCCCCCAGTATGTTACCCAAGGCTTTGTTCAATTTATTTAGAGTTGTCATGACAGTGATCATACCTAAGATTAGTCCCCTAAACCTGGAGATCCATCAAGTCCAGGGTCTTTATAAGAGGGGAACAAGCCTCTCCATAAACTGTCATCAAGAAACAGTCTTCTCTGTTTCAACAGGACCCTTTTCCTCTGTCAATTTTTTGTATACATAGTCCCATATCTTACTGGAGGAAAATGAGTTAACATACAATTTAAGTTTGGATGATCAAAGAATATCTAATGAGCAGATTCCAGGGAAACAAGGAAGCATATAATATGTCCAAATATTCTCAGTGTAGATTATAAGAAACCAAACTCAACACACATTTATCATGAGAAACATAACACTCAAACTGCTCACTAGAACTTGCCTTGCTTAGAAGATCAAATTAAACAAGGCTTAAGAGAAAAGCAGAACAATTCACCACAAGAGAGGTAAAGAAAAACAAAGAAATGTTCTTTGCTGTCAGTGTAATACCTCTAACTACTTAGACACTGCTCTCAATTATGCAGGTTTTCCCTAAATATAGGTCTACAAGAGTGTATAAGCCAAGAGATATCTATGACATATCTTTTTATTTGCATATTTTAACCTCAGAACCCACAAATATCTCACAGTTGTTTAAAAGTAATGTACTTTTCAGAAGAGTAGTAATTAGTCTGTGACTGACATTAGAAAACACAATGGATTTTTGGGTGCAGATCTTCAGTTTCATGCTAATCAGTGTCACAGGTAAGACAGGTTCTGAGTTCAGAACCCAATATTATTTTGTGTGTAAGATAAATTATCTTTCATTTTGTATCTCCTAAATGTTGAATTGTATTAAATTATTTGTGTATCTCTATGTCTACTAACGTTGCTCTCTTTTTGTTTTTATATTGATCATAGTGTCCAGGGGAGAAATTACACTTACCCAGTCTCCAGCATCTAAGACTGCATCTGAGGGGGAGGAGGTCACCATCACTTGTAGTGCCAGCTCAAGTGTAAGCACCAGTTATTTGCACTGGTACCAACATAAGCCTAGAGGTTCCCCTAAACTACTAATTTCTGAAACATCTAAACTGGCTTCTGGAATCCCAACTCGCTTCAGAGGCAGTGGGTCCGGGACATCTTATTCTCTCACAATCAGCAGCATGCAGGCTGACGATGCTGCCACTTATTTCTGTCAGCAGTGGAGTAGTAACCAATGCCCACAGTGATATAGACTGGAACAAAAACCCTTAACCTACCCGAAGCCCAGCTACTTCCTCCTAGAGATTAAATATGGCTAAAGTTTTCAATGATACGTGGAAGAATTTCTCAGATTTTCTTCAATGGAGACATTATATCATATGTATATATGTGTGTATGTGTATGTATGTATATGCTTCTTACATTTAATATTTCTTACGTTAAAACTTTTTATGAAAATTTGGTATATTATTTTACCTCTACCAGTTGCATTGATTGGCTTTCACGATGAAAACATTTCTCCTGGAAAGGTTGCTTGTATGATACATTGCTGCATTGATTGAGTTTGGATAAGTGTGGAAAAAGTATGCTTACAAATTTCAAAGTAGCTTTGTCTTATTAAGCCTTATCTGAGGTTTATTCAACTACCAGGGTGTTGAGCTTTTCAGCCTGTTAGATTTTCCTGCCTTCACGAGTAAGGCATTTTTGGAACAGGTGCATTTGAGTGTCTTTAGCAGTGTGATTTGGTTACTTTAATGTTTTCTCATGCTATGGAGGAATTGAAAATTTCCAGTGTCTTCAGAGGTGGATGACATTACAAGTTAGTCAGAAGAATCATGCAAATAAACTACTTTCTTAGAGAACTAGTAGATACAGTGTTAGAATGGAAACTATGTCAGGCCTCACTGATATTAACAGCCACAGGAAATCATATTATTAACCAGTTGGTTTCAAATAATAGCATGCAGTAGTCCATATAGTTTGCTTAATATATTCTTTACCATGCCATTTCTGTCTTTGGGTAACTTAATGTCTTCAATATCCAACTTCACTCCAGGGCTACCGTGAACTAAATGATGATTTCTTTATTCTCTATTTTTATTGTTTATTGAAGTAAAATGTGGCAGACAGCCCCACTTAGTCACTTCACAGGAGGTCTCCAGGAACCTTTTCATGTGGTCTCTACTCACTTCACTAATCTCAGGATCTTCTCTGGTTGAATACTCTTCCTCAAGATTGTCATTTACTATAAATATCTGACTAAATCTTCCTAGTAAAAGATTACCCATCTTCTTCTGTCTTCTGATCTTTGTTCCCTAATAGACCTTATTTTCCTTTGAAATTGTACTGCCAGTTTATGCTTGAAATGCTTTGGTCTCCAAAAAGTATTTTGTGAGCAAATAGTATTATCTTTCTATTCTTATTACAAATCATTGAAACACATCATCAATAAAAAACCAATAAAGCAATAGAGGGCTAATACATGGACATTTAAATTATTTTATATTTTTTATGCATCTGTGTATATGTGAATTGGCACACATGTTGGAATCTGATGACAACATTCTGGAATCATCTCTCTCCTTTAAACATCTAGGTCATAGTAATTGCCCGCATATTGTCAGATTTGGCAAGCATCTTTACAGGTCAATCCATCTCTCTCACCTTTGAAATTTCTTTTAAATTCTGAAGAAATAAATCAAAGACAACACTAAATAAAGTATGCATATACTCATGGCTTTGTAGAAATGATATTGAGAAAATAATCATCTGATCAAACCCTATTGATGGATACAATACAAACCAGAATGGCATCTTTTCCGACAGAAAAAAGTCTTACCATTCATTTGGAACCTGATTACAGAGACAAAATCTGGGGAAACTACAATAACTAATCTTGTCATACTATTGAAGTAGAATAATATACAATATTTTATTATCACAGACAAACTTACAGATTATTTAAGTAGATATTAACACTCAGATTTTGACAATGCAACTAGAGTGAACTATATGGTAAACATAAACATGCAAACATACAAAATGGTGTATACAGAAATAAAGACAGAATCTTTTACAAATTTTTCTGTGAATATAGATGTGCACATATAGAAAATGAAACTAGGCCATTATATATCACCCATTATCACATAATTGTTCAAATATCTCAATATAAAACCTGAAATGGAAAAATTTGGAAGCTGTGGTATATGCTGTATCAGAGACTGTTGCTGTTGTTTTCTTTCCTTCCAGCCTGGCCCTACAGCAACCTCAACTGCAAGAAACACATAAATGGTATATTAGTTTTAAAATTATTGGCCAGTTACTTGGGCTGCTTATTGGTTATCTTAGTCTTAATAATTAACCCATTTCATTTAATATGTATATTTCCACGTTGTTTTGGATTACAAGAGAATACCTGGCATATCCTCTCTTCCCAGGCTCTACATGATGATTTTGTCTGCCTATGTTTCCCAGCATTTTCCTTGTATCCTAGCCTTGCATATAGTTCCTGCCTGGCCAATCTGCCAATCAGTGTTGTATTCATCTTATCCATTGATAAGAGAAATATATACAAAGAAATACGTCTCTCATTAGGAGACTTTGCTAAATTGGTGTGGCCTTGATAGAGTGAGTTTGTGATTAAAGATAGTTTTGCATATGCAAACGGCCACATATGGCCAGATGATTTCTCCATGCTGTTCCTGTGTCAGGAGGTAAAGTTCTTAGTGCCATACTTGCCAACATGCTCCCTGCAGTGAAGATAATATAATAACCATCTGAATCTGTAAGCAGGCCCTAATTAGATGTTTTCTTTATAAGCTTTGACTTAGTCAGGGTGTCTCTTCACAGCAATAGACCAGTCACAAAGAATGTATTTATTCAAGACATAAGATCAACAACTGACAATTAGGATCTCCTGAATATAAAAAGCTTCTATGCAGCAGAGAAAACAATCGTGATTGAAGGGTCTGTCTACAGAAAGAAACAATGTTTGCCAACAATACATCTGACAGAAAATTAGAATTTAGAAATCATAAGGAACTCAAAAGCATAAACACATAGGCCAATAAAAAGTTTATAGATAACAAGGAATCAAATATAAACATCCTATCTTATCATGACATAAAAGCAAAATACAGCTGTATTCCATATGGCTAGAAACAACTATTATCAGAACTGAATTATTGAGCAAATTCCCGGTAACAGGCAGGAATTTATCATTAGTTATTGGTCATGGATAATCAAGCGATTGTACAATTATTAGAGCAACCTTATTGCCCAACAGAAAAGATGACAGTATAATATAAATTAGGACACAATGTACTTCTGAAATGCAATAGAGGAACCAAAGTGGTTGTGATCTAGATGCTTTATCCCTGCTGGAAGATAAGTTGATATTTCCTGGGAAAATGAAATCACAGATGATCTTACATTTTCATGAATCCTGCATCTACTAAACTAAAAAAGATTGCTCACATTCGGAGAAGTGGGACTATTGTCATATAATCAAATACAATCTGATAAGGTATGAGAATCACTTTAGAGGAGGTAATCCATGCATAGTACTATAAACATGGATATTAAAAAAAACAGGGATGGATACAGATCACAAATTCTAAGTAGTTACTGAATAGTCTTCTCTCTTATTCAGATGAATTTGTTATAGGAGTCTTTATGAATGAGTCTCCCAAAGTCAATGATAATGGAATTAAGAGATGCCACCCATGAAACAAATAGAGGGTATCTCTCGGATATTTTGAATCAAAATCTAGATAACTTTTTCATGGTATACACTAACACAGGTCTTCTCAGCCTGTGAGGACCTTTGATAATTGGATGACCATTTCACCATTGTCAGCTGAGATCATCTGCATGTTAGATATTTATGCTAAAATAAATATCAGAAAAATTAAAATTATGAGGTAGCAACAAAAAGCGTTTTACTGTTAGGTTCATCCCAACATAATTAACTTTATTAAAGTGTAACAGAATTTTGAAAATTGAGAAGATGGGTGGGTAATCAAGCAAGATTTTACACAATTGTAAATGATGTATCTCTAATTACAGGGAAATGGCCTTCACTCCAGGGAGTTCTTTGGAATGAAGCATTCTGCTTTTGTTCTACATGCTCTTGAGTTTTTGAGTCTTCTCCCAGATGCCTGAAACTGGAGAATATTTGAATTAAGTTCTTATCCCATGAAATCCATTCCCTTAAGTAACTTCATGAACCATACACTTGGACATGAATAAAGCTCAGAAAGAGTGAATTCACAGACCTCCATACTCTGCAGAATGTGTCATCCTAGTATGCTTTCAACCTCACTGTCAATAACCTTTCTCTGAAGACATATGCATCCAAGCCAGGTCTCCAAGTCATATGAATTACAGTAGGCTGCCTGATTGATAGTCCCCAAATAAACACCATCTGGAAACACAGAGAAGTTGTCCTGGAGTTTACCTGTCTGACACCATCTTTCCTCTTGACTGTGGTCAAAATTATGAGTCAGACAGTGTTTATTCTCACACTCTTTTGTGAAAGGTTATAGTCTCCAGCGTGTTATGAAAACATATGACACAGGTCAGTTTTTTGCTCTGGCCTCAGCAAAGATGGTTTACCCATGAGCAAAAGAGAAGAATTCAAACCTGAGTTTTATGTATACTATAGATGATTAGGAATCTCAGTGCCAGTTTTTCTTTTACTCCAAGTCTCCGTGATGCATATCATGGGTGTGACATCCTTTGGTTTCTTACAAGTACCAAGAATTCCATGGTCAAACAAATATTAATCTGGATTTAGCCCCCACAACTGTTCAGACCTCATAAATAGCACCTATTTTAATTAAGATCGAGAATAAATACATCACAGACAAATATTGCAGTGATACATTAAAAGAATGGATTACATTTTTACTATTATAATATAAAGAGAACACTGTAAAACTGTGTTTCTTAGTTGTGTCTGCTCCACATAATGTTGGTGTCCATAAGTGACTCAGTTTCCATCTGGCGTCTATTCTTACTTCTACAACATTAGCGTTAAAGTTTTCTTGTTTTAGTCTCCTTCAGAGCCTTTGAGAGAGGTCTGATTAAGAGTATGGGAAAGAGCAAATTATCTAACTAGCAATTTTCTTATGCCAGCCAAATGACACACAGAGACAAGGAATAAAGTTTGCTTGCTGCTAGCAGGACTACATTTATAGATAGCAAGCCTGGTTGCTCCTCCATTCATGGACAGTGCAGGAAG